AATTATTTCCCTCAACAACACAAGATTAATCTTTGAGTGAACCTAAATCGACGAAGACACGCTTGTCTGGTTATAAATGGTTATCTTGGGTCTACCCAGACACATCTTTAGCCTTTTGACATCAAGGAGTGACCAGCACCCAGTTTCTACTGACAGTATCACTGCTGAATCACACATTAACAAAGGAAATGATCACCAAATAAAAAAAGGCTCTTGATTGTTCAACAAAGTCTCCTTATCTGCACCTTAAGAAATGCATAGAGAACAGTATGGAGTATATACATATTGATGTTAGGGTGACAGATCTGATCTTCCATTTTCTTTTGATAAATGTTTCACCGATCGAGGAGTCCATCTCGAGTTATAAATCGTTTCCTATATCTTCACACCCAAAAGCCTCCGTTAGTTTTTAACACTTTAATTTCTTTGATAGTTAAAGCGAAATCCCAAAATTATCTCAGTTTCACGTATCTTATCAAAGCGATGACGGCTGGATGAAAGAAATTTGTACTCAGAACGTAGGCAGTTTTTGCCTACGTTCTGAGTACAAATTGGAGAACATACATATTGATGTTAGGGTGACAGAGGGTTAAGATTTGATAACTCTTCCATATTCGTACAAAGTGCGACATCGTGCAAATCGCGCATGCGGAGTTCTTTACTTGTTTAACACCATTTCTGTGAATTCTATCGTTTCAATCTCGGTTCCTATTTCGAAAATTGGGTGGCCTACACAATTGCAACAACAAGATGAGGGGGCAGAGGAATCCTGGTTTCAAAGACTATCCTCTATTTCTAGGGTATTGCTATCTAACTTAATATTGTTATTTAACTATATACATGAGATAAACCCGCGCACTACATCAAATTTCACAACTTAACATTTTGTGTTCAAGTGACACAGATGAAAACATCTTCAGTACATAAATTCGGGTAATAACCAGATGGAATATTATAGCCTCAATAGTGGGTCTCACCTGCAATGGTCTCCCTTTTAAGGAGCGGAACTTACGTGTTTTGTTTTCCTAATGAAAGACTCAACGGAATTCTACTCTTTTTCTTTTGTAAACAATGCGTGAATAGAATGAAATTTAAAAGACAGAGCTCTCGAGATTATAATTACATGACATATAGATGGGAAACAAACATACAAGCTAAATAGGTGTGCTATCAGTAAAAGTTTACCCATAGCGTTGAGATCGAAGGAATACCCTCGTAAAAAAATCAACAAGAGGCCGGATGAGGTTCGGAAACTGTGTAATTCAAAGCAAACGACGAATTTATGCTTAACAGTTATTCCGTGAGCAAAAGATAAAATTCTGACATGAGACATGTCACATGAAAACCATTTTTAAGCCGGCCTAAACTTTCTCTAACGTCACGTCACGTCACGCAAGTTCTTAATTCATATCTATGAATAAAGGCTGATAGTTTCGAAAGAAACTGTTTGGGGCTGCGTCGGTGGGAGTAACGAAATAATTTGGATATATCAACAAAGTTGAAATGGTAAATTGGCCACCGTAACGATTACAAAAGCTGACGTTTCGAGCGTTAGCCCTTCGTCGAAACGTCAGCTTTTGTAATCGTTACGGTGGCCAATTTACCATTTCAACTTTGTTGATATATCCAAATTACTTAATTAATATTGTCATCAACTTCAGAAAGCGAATCACGCATAAACTCTCTTGTATATTTTTTAGCTCATCGCTCCTTTTTTCTTTGTAATTTTATCTTAATCATGCTGTTGCGATTTGTTTGGTTTTTTTTTTTTCGGCAAAAATGGATCGTTCGTGCGGTAACAAGCCAGACTGGCACGCAAGAGCAGACCCCGACCATTACTAAATCTCGAGGCTTTTAACCGACTGCCACCTGCCCCCACGTGACTACTTCGCTAATGGAGGTAAATGCATCTCATAACAGACTTTCCCTGAAGCAAAATTAAATAATTCACCAGGCAAATAATCAGCTAAAACTGCGTTGGGTGTAGCTAACGTAAATATTTTGAGCATGTGCTAAAACACGGACGTTTAATTCTGGACGATAGACGATGGACGGAGAAAACGATGGATAAAATGCCCCTATTAGCGTCAAATTTTTCACACAATCTTTGGTAAAGGACTTTTTTCCTAATATAAACACTGTTTTTTAATTTGGAAGTAAAGACTGCGACAAATTTAACCCCTACGTGGGCATATAGTACTCTGTCTAACGTCCAGAATTCAGCGTCTGCGTTTTAGCACATGCCAATCTACTGAGCTTGTTTGGTTGTTTTATAATCGAATCTGATTTAATCCGAGCCACCCGTTAATCCATTCTTATAATTCGCCCAAAGGGGGTCAAGTCACTCGCCCCTTAGATAACGCATAGTTAATAGAGGGATAACTATGGATAACGAAACAGATTTTTCTAAATGCTTGACTGTTAAATACCTAAACTACCTTTGTCCAGGGATCTTATTTCATCAGCAGCATTTCAGAATGAAAAGCTATGATCAGAAATTCTAACTTGACCATAGGTCTCGCAGGGTTGCTCATGCAGCTACAATCATGACGTTTGCGGAAAAATACAAACAGTTATATTGAACTTCTCGCTGTCTGCTGTCAGCCACTTGTGCACTGTAACACTTTTGAACGAAAGATATTTTTTATTTTACACAGGGCTGTTTCATGAAATAGAGTTAAGTTGGGAGCATTCACTTTTGCCATCACGTGTTATTAAACGTCATATTCAAACTCACTGCTAAATTTAGTCTGGCTACCGAGGCTGCCGAAATTTACAAATAGGGCCAGTAGTTGTGCCATATTCTGGCAGAGAAAAATTCTAATTGTTACAAAGAGGCTTAGGCCTGTTAAAGGACAATTTACCACTTATATTATAAATTATCTGAACAAAACTGTTATATCTTCATATATACCTTTACATAGTGGAAAACTTATTCAGTGGATGTGTAGTTCATGGTGGCAGCGTCCCAGCTTTAACTAATACACAACACTGCACCATTAACAGACCACTTTCAAAAATGGCAGGCATGATTTCACGTACTATTCTTTAAAACCAATGTAACCAAACCTTCCAAGCCTCGTAATTATGTGTCAAACCTAAAAACAATTCACTCAAGCTGCGTTAAGAAGATTAATTGTCATGCAAATCAAAGAATAATGATCATGCCCGCTATCTATACGAGGAGCTCAAATACTCAGTTGTAAGAGAAGAATAAGACGCATTTAAAAACTCCAAACATGGTACGTATATCATAAGAAAAATAACATAATGCGATTCGCCCCCATAAGAAACTTAGCCCTGTTCAATTCGTCTTTCGTTGAGCGTGTAATCCATCTTTACGAACATTTATGCGGTCACTTTCATTTAACTGCGACGAAATCAAGGTCGGCGGAATTTCCATATCTTGTAAAAGACCTTGGATATGACATTGAAGCTGTCGAACCAGTACTTCAAAATTTGCCATTATTCTTATGGGAAAATGTTCTCTTGCAAATAAGTAATAACTTAGGAAAACCTTTCACTTGACAACTGTTTTTCTCTTTGCCACTGAACGTTAAAGAGGTAGAAATGTCAAGCTGGCATGCTAATGAAGAATATATCCACATACTCCGGTTCTAAAGTGGAAGAAAAAAAGATGTGTACTTTCGGTCTGCATTTATTTTCTGCAGCTTGTCTGTGGTTAAGGATAAGTTTTCATTCTCTAGCTGCATCAGTATAGTGTTACGTTCTTACCCGGCATAAGTTACGGATACCACGAAATTTTGACGAAAGTTGCAAGAGCCGCTCTGACTCAGACAAATACCATTTTACCCAGGAATCATTTTCAAACAAAAGAGAAACGCGCAATCCCTCTTGGGTTAGTCTATGTCTGAGACAACCGACAGACACTTGAAAGATGAACACCATAGAGATCTTCTACAACAGGAAAAACACTTAGAACTATAAAGTAGTTGAACAACTCAGAGAAAGACACTAAAAAAATTGGAGGAAATCCCTTTAACGACCTTTCACCGCCGCCGGGCTTACATAATAATAATGAAGGAACAAAATTTCGATTTCTACACTTTGCTCGTGACGTTGTAACATTTTCAACACATGCGTGGCAAACAAACTTCAACTTCAACTTTTAAGTTTTGTTACATATGATCATACATAAATGAGAGTAAGGTATGCCATGGGTAGGCTTAATATTTCTCATTGTCTTGTACATGAATAAGTCTTTGGCTTGTAAATTGACAGATATGAAAGCATAACAAAAAAAGGTTTAAATATTCCACGAGGTCTCAGACAATAAGTTTCAGCTGATGAAGTTTTTATCATTTTGTTTCATATTCAGAAAAACATGGCGGAATACAGTCCATCTCTTAACTGGATTTCATTGAGAAAATGATACCATTTCTGTACGAAAGCGAAATTTTATTCCACCGATTGAAGAGATTGCGCAAGAAGAATTGCCATTAGTTCTTTTGTGGTTAGACAGACGGAAAATTTTACATCGGCTTCCCTGATCATGTTACATCAGGGCAGGTGTTTTTGGCCATTTAATTTAGGAGAGCCTCACTTGTCATGTTTCGTTTGTCAGTGAACGAAAAACTCAATGAAAATTTAAAATTCTCAGTTTCCTACATTTCTTGTTCCTTGCGTTTTAAAAGTCTCTGTTTTTAAAAGCACTTTTTAATAGACTTACGGTCGCCCTTAGTCAAACGAAAAGCAACTATATTTCGGCAAAACTTCGTGTATATTGCAACAACTCACGTCGACAAATTACGGACAAGTTTTAAGAGATAAGTTTTGTCAAGTAGATGAAGTGTGGCGTGGCGCCAATGGTATTAGGCCTTTAGCAAAAACGATATTGTTAGTCATAGGGCGGTCACGCATTATTTCAGAAACCAGATCAACTGGTTTAATTAAGTCAAGAATCTTGTTTGACCTGATTACGTCGGCGTGAAAGGAATGTTGCGAATGGTATTGTTTCCCACAAGCGCGTGGTCTTTGAAAAGGACTTTGGCTTTGTGTTCTGCTCTCACGTGAAAGTAGGTCGGAGAAGGTTTAATTTGCAGGTCCATTGCCAGGATACTTGGGAAGTTTGACTGAGTTGTACGTCTCTTCTGAAGTATCAAAAGACTTGATTTAACTGACAACGTGAGAAGGTAAATATTATAAAAGCAATGGCTGAGTGATTTTGCAATTCAAATGATGGCTTTATTAATCACAGCCATAACTGGTCGATCATCGTTGACTCCAGAAAAATTTTAGTCATGTGGAGCGGTCAAACTCCTCGAGGGAAAACTTAACCGTAACTGTGATCATGTGGTCAAACATATGAGGTAAATGTTGGGGACAATTTTGCGATTTAGTTTGTCTTCTTTGTCTCGAATCTATTCATGTCAAAACAAGAGAAAACGCAAATCATCCGAAAATAAGTTGACCACGATAATGCTAAACGAAATACAGACACAAACTGCTAGTCGTGGCTGTTAACGAGAAATATCCAGCCAGCGGCGACTCGTTTCGTTAATCTTTCATTTGCTTCATTGCCTTGACAGATGCTAACCGGTGGCAACCGTAATGAATTTTAAAAATCTCGAAGACTTGCTTTTGTTTTCTCGCTAAATATTATTCACCTCTCGACAAGTGCATATTAGGAATATTTAGCATTTCATTCTTTACTTTGGAATATGGTAACCATACTCCCAGGCACTACCGTAACTAACAACGGAATAAGAGACACGGTTGAGTAGCTAGTGACACGTAAATGAAAGTGGCCTCTCAATTCACCCTTGTTTACTGTATTATCGAACGAAATATGCGCGATTACAACCCAGCGCCGGGCGTTTAGATGGTCTATCGTAGAAGTTAAAACTTTTTTTCTGGTGATATTGCCGTTACTTGATATGGTGTTATAAAATAAACCAAAGTACTAATACTTTTGACAGTCCTGCGTTCAATATGGCGCCGATATTTATGAACCGACCGATTGGTGTAGCGGAAATTCTGTTTCCTCGTAAATGAGTTGACATCTGTCAACCCGGGTGCCCTAGAGTATTCTATGACGTCGTTATTTCTTGTTGTCCGCTATTGTTCGCGTCAGGGTGTCCATCAATTTAATATATATTTTTTTTGGGAGGTTAGAGTTACAGCCATGAATCTGTAATTAGGATGAGAAAAACAATATTCATTTGTTTTCGCCTCGTGAATTTTACGATCACAAGATGACTAATCGATATCGTTCGAACGCCCGCTGCGGTCACCCGGTAATTACTGAATGGAATTCCCTAGAAAAAAAATTTTGACTGGAGAAAAAATATTTGAAGTTTCTAGCCTAGTAGAAACAAACGAGAACATGTTTGGTTCACAAAAATAGAAAAAAAAAAAACATAGACAGTAAGCTGCATCGAAGAAATACTTCAAAAAAACGGGTCGTGCTAAGCGTTTGTTTTGGAAAGGCAATTTCATTAACTAGCAGCATAGGAAATTGCGCCATAGATATATATATATATATAACTGCAGACATATATATATATATATCGTGTGTAACTGATTCAGATCTAAGCCGCTTATGGCTCAATAGTATTACTGAAGAGGTGTTATACTAAAGTCTAGTGCCAGGTACAGAGATGTTACGTGCTAAACGGTGCATGTCCGTACTAGGTACAGCGCAAACATGCTTAGGCCCGTCTTTTGGACTTCGTTCTGGGATCAACAACACGCTATTTTGCATGAAATAAAACGCAAGGATATCATTTAAGTCTTCGAATTGGATGATGATGTATTGCCGCAAATAATTTTTGAAATAAATTGTATTTGACCAATGCATGATGCTGGAAAAGTAACGAACTTGTCCTCACAAGTGCACTGCAATTAGAGCAATTTCAGAAAGCAACAAAACTTGAAAACATTATGACAGCTATCGACAAGGCCCTCCGGATACCGGTGCGCTTCTATCAACTGAGCTTTGAAGCCAGTAACCTAGCGCGAAATCCATTGATTGACTTGTCCTATCCGACAAAGAGAAACCATGCCATTACCACAAACTGCAAAATCCATGTGGTTCTTTGGTAGCGTTTGCAGGGTCTATTCTTTACTTTATATGCCCAAAAACTACGAAGAAATGTCAAGTTTTAATATGTCGTTTCATTTCCGACTTACTGAGATTTACACTGTGACGCGCCATCGTTCGTGGCTTTGACTGGACGAAAGATGTTTTGATGCTTCCAATCTTTAAAATGTGTTGTTCAGTAAGAAAAAAATCTCACTATATATGAAATAAAAACATCATACCTTGGAAAGTGCTTGAACGATTTTTATTCACTCGTTGCGAAGCATCAATAAAATCACTCGCTCGTTTGTTTTGTTTGTTTTTTTGTTATCACGCACCGTACCGCAACTCGTGAATAAAAATCGTTCGCGCGTCTTTCCATGGAATAATTCCTACTTCTGTTCGGTCTGCTAACTTATTTCAAGTTTGAAAATCTACGTTTTGAAATATAAAAACACACCACAGTAAACTGAGATTAAAATGATGCGTGAAGAGGTTCATCCGTTGGTTTGACCTGGACGCACAGTTGTGGGGTGTTTTCAGTTTAATTTTTCCTGTTCCATCGGATTTCCGGTCTCACATTGTACCAGCGCAGTTGTAGACACCTTCAATCCCCCGCAGAGTATTATTTTACTGAATCCCGGAAACCATGTAGAATTTAAATTTTCAATGATTGTCGTCAATATTTTGAAAACATAGTTTGACATCTATAGAGGTAGTTTGGACTAGTCCTTAGCATTAAATTCTTTTCGATAAAAACGTAACCTTACTTCGACACAAGAGTTTCCATTTCAGGCGTGCTGATCATCGTTAATATGTGGAATAATTTGCCTAAAGATATTGTACACGCAGGATCATTGACTTTATTTCGTAACAGACTAAAGATTTACATGAATATTGATTGAGATGATGGTAAACAGTTTTTAATTATCTGTATATAATGTTTTGATCTTTTTATTCGGGGAATCTTTTATATAGGGTTAACCTCTAGAATATCCCCTTTCGAGAGATACTTTTACAATTTTTATTTTCCTTTCTCTTGAATAAAGTATTGTATTGTATTGTATTGTAAATCATTTTTACGAACATTCTAGGCGATACTTACACTTACTTTAAATTTGTCTACAAAGCATAACTTGAGTCGAGTGCATGCATAAATAGAGCGAATTCGCACAACCGTTCGTTATATGTTAATGAACCGTTCATTATTGGAAAATGAGAAGAATAATTTAAGGCGGTTGTGAACATTTATTCAATCAACCAATGGCTACAGAGGGTAATGATTTTTGTTGGATGGTGGTGACTGCAAAGTAAAAAAATTAACAGAAAGGTAAGCATTTTCAAAAGCACCACACGTTTGCGTGCACATCCATTACCTTTAGCTCCACAGAATGTTCTTGGCCAAAAAACCACTTGCTTTGAACAGTCCAGTACTTTCCAACGTGCGTCTAAGGTTCTCTTGAACCGTGACCTGTTTGGACGCGCACGAGTGATCACACCTATTCACAAATCTTTTTCTCATTAGCATTTAGTGCGTGTCCAAACAGGTTGAGCTGAAAGTTCAGAGATATCACGACAACCCTTGGAAAAAACAGCAAATGGGGTATTTTCCTTTTCGCTCTCCAAAAGAATCATTCTGGAGTATTGCTATTCTCTGTCCATGGAAAGCTCTCGTCCGTTGTGGAATGTAAAACTGGTTTTGCAAATTCCAAGAATTGGTTCCGACAATACGTCACCCTGTGCTTCCTTTCATTATTATTTTTTTTAGAAAAAAGGATGTTTACAGATCGTCTGAGACGTGAAAAAAAGTTCTAAAAAAATTAGAAACTATGAGAAAGGCAGTAACCAATATATAATAGGTAGATTTCTCAAAATTTTAAGCCCTAGCGACTCTCCTCGTAGACATCGTACGAAGCACCACCTTAATTTGCATTCCCTGTATCAACAAACGCTGGAAGTACACTTTGTGAATACAGCATTATAACATAACCAAAGTAAAGCGCGCGCTCTGATTGGTCAATTTGGACAGGAAATAGGAAGACGTTGTGTGGTACGGGTAGTTCACAATAATCAGTCGAGATTTATGCAAATTTCGAAAAATTGGTAAAAATCTCGTTTAGTCTAGATGTTCGCTTCAATTAGCTTTTCCAAATCCTGAAACTCACTAGCACTGCGCATGCCTTTCTGTATTGACTTTCGTCTTGCTGAGGACGAATTCTGATAAGAGGTTTTCGTGCATGTGCTTTCCGAAGTTCCTCGAGGGTGTTTTTTTTTTTAACCCAGTTTCAGCATGTACAAAACAGTCATTTTAGCAATTTATTGTTATCTAAAGGCCCATTCCAATCCATTTTCTTATAATAATCGTTCTTTCGTTGTGTTTAAGGGTTAGGCGGTTCGAAAAATTAGCCTAAAGGTTTTAATTTCGTCATCTGCATATCAATATTTATCTAATGATTTTTTTTTCCTTTTTTTGTTATCATTGCTTCTGTGTAAGTTATTATTTTTCTTTTTGGTGATTGGAGGCAATATTTGTGAATTTTTATGGAGTTGATGACGACATGGGTCACAGTCTGGTTGTTTTATGGCTAGTTGTAGTACAGAAATGACACAAACGTTCTAAAAGGAACCCAAGTGTCCGCATCGACACTGGACCGGGATATTCAAGTGCCCAGTTCATGTTTTCAAGAATATATAAATTCCTTTTTCATTTTGGATTATTATGACTGCTGCTCAAGTTTGAGCCCCAGCTGCAGAGAACGAGCTGAATAAATTAAGTTAACAATGCCAAACCAATTACAAACAGTCCAGTTGCTTTTTGTTTTTGTTTTGTTTTGTTCTTTTGTAATAATGACCTCAGCTTTTATGATTTGAACAGAATTTCTTTGTAGTGTTAGGAGTCAGGTTCATCTTGCATGATCCCACACCATTCACGCGACTCTGGAAGGGTTAACCTGTCGGCGATTGCAAACGCACTGATGGCCCTCGACCGGAACACATGATTCGCCGTAGGTAAAACATTTCTTCGATCACAATTATAAGCACGCGATAATTAATGAGCTATGTCGCCTTGTTGTTTGTGATAATGGCGAACTTGAGAAGTGTTAAGGTAAATTTTTCGCTACTCACGAACCGTGACGGATGTCATTAACTGTTGATTATTTATCTGATACTTCTCTCGACGTAAAAATACTCGCCAGAAGAGGGAGGTTTCATTTATAACCTCATTAAAAAAAGAAAAAATCATGAGCCAGTCATGTCTTGAGATATTATTCATCGGTCATGACCACATCCTGCGACAAAAAATGAGTAGTTTTTACCCCACAGGAAGACCACAAAAACAAAGCGAAACATCTGCTTCTTATTAATTCACAGTGGTAAGAAAATATATTGGATACGTCATAACTCCGCCTCTCACTCGCATGTTTATGTCGTGGTTCAATATCAACCTTCGTTTGAATATTTTTCTTGTTTACCATATGAAACCATGACGTTCTCCGAAAAAGGCAAACGGAAAAAGCTGTCCTTGTCGTCGTCTGCTTTCAGCTGTTTGTTCGCTTCAGTGAAAAGTGTTTGATTGATTGTCCTGTTAAGGTAATTTATGGCTTATGCTACTGATCATTGCTGTAAAGTCGGATCCGTAAAAGTCAAGCTTGAGCGCTGAGTATCATCTATCATCGTAGTTTAACTCACCCCTCCCTAAGCACGAGATAAAAGAAACGATCTAATGAACGAAGCAAGAACATCTATTTTGGGCGTACAATCATTGGTTGATTGCCGGTATCAAAATCATCGTCAAGTCTCGCGCTTGAACGATATTATAAATTGCTTTTCAATCCTTAGTCCTACTCATGTCTCCTTATGGTGTCGGGGAAAGAAGATTTCTTTTCCATTTCGTCCGTAAATTGTGTCATATGTGGTCATTCTACACAGGAAGTTACACAGAAATCTCTGAGGTCGTCGACAAAAACATGAGATTTCCTGCGTTGTTTTTTGAAGCTCAGTTGGTAGAGCGCTCAGCTGGTTGCTGTTGAGGAGACTGGGGTTTGAACTTCCTAAAGGCTTGAATCCAATCTTTTTACCATAGATATTACTGTTATTGCAGTTTGAATATGACCAGGCATTCGTCAATCGTCATCTACAAGTCACCTATATTAATTCACCTCAGGTTATTGTTCGTAGTAAAGTGTAATGCCACGAAACCCTGTAACCCCTAAGAGTCACTGGCATCTAATTTCTTCTATCCATTTTTTTTTTTTTTTTAATGAGTGCGCTAGGAAGGGAGAATACTTGTTTAGAAATTTTGAGATCTTTTATCATAATTGCTACTTGTAAATATGCTTTTAATCATCAATTTTGTTTTTAGGGGGCCGCTAGAGAGAATACTTTTTATGGGAATTGGTGTCACCCTCTGAAATAAACTGAAGGTTTACAACATTACCCCTGAGTCACACATCAAGGTCACGAGAATTAAGTAAAAGATCACCAACTAAAGAAGCTCTTGATTGTTAAACAAATTCTCCTTGTCAGCACCTTAGGAAATGTATAGAGAACAGTATGGAGAATACGCATACTGATCTGAGGAATGCATTTATGGTCGCTGACTGCAACATAACATTACCTTTTTGACAATGAACTTTGCAATATTTTGTTGACCTCTTTAAAGTGTTCACCTATCAGTCCATTTGAAGTAGAGTTATGAAAGATGTAGGTTTATTTTCCTGGCTCACACCTGTTAACATTTATATTATTTAGCGGAAAGACCGCCTCTGAGAATAGAAAAAAGAAACAAAAACAAGAGACCTTTGTTCAAACTGGTAGCTGACACAAAAAGAATCTTTCAGAGACAACTGACGTCAAGGAAAATAATTCAATACTTGTTTGTTGCGAAACCGGTTTTTATCGCGACAGGTGTGGAAGCACAATTATCTCATTAAAAATTTAATGGAATTGTCTGATAGAGCTGCGCACCAATTCTTGAAGCAAAATGTCTCCTCAAAGTTTATTGAAATATCTTCATTCATCGAACGTTCTTCCCTAACACTAATCACAGGGAAATTTGAAGACACATGGCAAGAGATGGGATGTGATGAGTTTGATTTAAGGTTAAAAATCTGTCTTTAATTTGTTTATCCAGGGAAGGAAAATGGAGGGTGACGAAAGACCAGAGAAACGAAGGTAAAAAGTCGAAGTATCTTTTAACATGGTGTTACTTAACTCAAATTTTTCTTACATCTTTGATAAATGGAATGCAAAGAAATATCTTGGATTTTTTTGCCACTGTATTGTCATGCCATTTATATTATGCTCTTGAAATATTTCTTGTTTACAAATTAATACGTAAATTTATGAGAAATTTATCTGTTGTTGACTACTTCATAAAAACTGCATTAGTTCTCACGTGGGCTTCTTTAGGGTCTATGGGATCCGTTTCAATCAGAATTTTGTAACATGCCTACTACCCCCTAACTTGCTAGTCTAGTATAGACCTCTCTGTCTCCTGTCGTAGGTTGGGCATCCTCCCACCTTCACCTGTATTTCGAGGGCGAATTATCATGATTTCAGCGGCTATTAGCGATCGTTGCTAATACTATCAAACCACAAAATATGACCGCTTATGACTTAAGCTTTATGGACACGATAATCTTAGAATAATGTAACCTTTCAATTTTTTTTTTTCCTTTTAGAAAGCTCGATGATATCCACGACTTACCCGGTAGGTAACCCTGCAAAGATTATCTTAATTTTCAGCCCTAGCTCCTGATTTCTCTTCACAGTCTTCCCTCCCCACCCCCTCTCCCCCCCTTGATCAACCATTTAAGTCACCAGAACAAAGGAAATAATCGCCTGCTAAAGGAGCTCTTGATTCTTTGACAATTTCTCCACTTCAATACCATATGATATCTATGGAGAACAGTATGAAGAATCTGCATACTGGTGTATAGAGAACAGTATAGAGAATCTGCATACTGATGTATAGAGAACAGTATAGAGAATCTGTATACTGATGTATAGAGAACAGTATAGAGAATCTGTATACTGATGTATAGAGAACAGTATAGAGAATCTGCGTACTGATGTATAGAGAACAGTATAGAGAATCTGCATACTGATGTATAGAGAACAGTATAGAGAATCTGTATACTGATGTATAGAGAACAGTATAGAGAATCTGTATACTGATGTATAGAGAACAGTATAGAGAATCTGC